ATCTATTTATAGGGTACCATATGATGCTTTCAACATTTAGTCTTTGAACCCCCATGTGTATTTTATACCTATAGCATATCTCAATCCAAATATAGCAGCTATATATGGTTAGTAGCAACTGTTTTGTACAGCACATGTGTAAATGATACTTAAAGCCAAGTATCATTGAATATTGAGAAATAATATAGGTAGAATAAAGGAGAAGCCCAAAAGGCCCAAGGACAGAGCCCCTGGCAACTCCTGCATTTAATGATCAGAAAAAGAAAGAGGAGGATCTCCAGTAGAAGAGAAAAAAAAATGGCAATGTGCTGTCTTGTTAGGGGTGTGAGTTACATGGTTCTGTGTACTTACAAACTAATTGAACTCTACTCTTACGATTTATGCATTTCATTATATGTAAATTATGACTCCGTTTTTTAAAAGTGTTTTCTAAAAATAGGAGAGAAAGAGAGAAAACCAAATGCAGAGGACAGTGAGAGTGGTCTGGGAGGGGTCCCAGAAGCCAAACGGTTAATCATGTCAAATCCTACTAAAGGATCAGGTAAGAGAAGCACTGAAAATTGACCACAGAATGGGCAATGGGAGGAGCCATATGTTACTGTGGAGAAAGCAGATTTGGTAGAGGAGATGAAAGCTTGATTCAAGTGGGAATAAGGAAACTGGTTACAGATGGCTGATCTAACACATGCTTTTACTTCTGCTTCCTCTGAAACCTCACTAAATTATGAGAGTAAAAAGAATTTTTACAGTGACACACCTCTCCCCCAACATGCATAATTTAGAAGCTGGAAAGGAACTAGACAGCCTGATTGGCCACAAAGCCTGACCTCTGGCCAGTGCTGCTGAAGGCCAGAAGTAACCTGGATGGCCCCACACAGTCCTCAACCGATTAGAAATTTGCATTCAGACTCACCTGGAAGTGACAGGTGAACATAGGCCTGAGAACTGTTTAAAAAGCAGCACCTTGATGCCCAAACACCACCACCCGCCCACTCACCGTACCCCACCCTCATGCACGCCTTCGCTCATAGTTGAGAACTTGACCCTCCCATCCAGGCATAACATTGCCTAGCTCTGCACACATACCAAGATTTAGGCATCCTCCTCTTTTTTTTTTGTACCAGGGATCAAACTTGGGTCCTTGCATTTGCACAGCAGGAGGAGAAACCACTGAGCTAAAGCCTCTGGCCTTAGTACCCTCCTCTTAAGAGCAAGTGGATATCAAAATTGAACTTTTGAAGAAAGCTTCTAACACTAAAGATCAAGGCAAAATTATCAAAAAAAAAGTAACCTGGAGATTAAATTTTATAGGGAGAAAAATATTAGTAAAATATCACTGATAAAAGAAGATACTAGATCTAAAACACAAAAGCAATGTATTACAAAAAAGAGAAACAAAGCAAGAAGGAACTCTTGGAAATCAAAGATATGAGAGCTGAAACAAAAAAACTCAATATAAGAACTGGATGGTAAATTGAGGAAAGTAGAGCAAAAAGAGAAGGAACAGAGGAAAGAAAAAAAAGAGAAAACTAGATGATCAAGATATTCAATATCTGAATTATAGGTGGTGTTGGAGAACGATCAATCCTCCAACTGCCTAGAAAGGGGGATGGCAAAGGATAACGGGGAAAAAGACAACAGAGACTTGTGCAATTTCAGAGTATGTAGGGGACTGGGAGGTCAGTGCCTCAGAGTGGGCAAAGACAAAGACTCTCTGAGCTAGCCACTATTTATTGGGTACACACAAAAACTGGAGCGAACAACAGGAGACTTAGGGGGTGGTGGTAATCCTCTGTCCATGCAGATCTTATGCTGATGAAGATCTTAGGTCATGAGGTTCTTATGTTGAGGAGGACTAGAAGGACAGCATTTTTACAATAGTAGAAGGGAGGAATTAAGCTGATAAGGAATTTGTCCCTCCCCAGATGAAACTTTTTTCTTACTACTGGGTTCTCAAAAAACCAGGATGTCTTCAGCTGATGAAATCCTGCCCTGGATTGTCACAGCATCCTGGGACCATTGGGGTCTCAACTGTGACCGGAGTTAAAAATGGCGTTATGTCTCAACATACCATAGCAAGCCTGTAGTCAGGAAAATTAGGCCTAGTCATAATTTAACTGTGAAATGATTTTTCCCCAAAATTATGTAGAATTGCTCCCGCCAAGGAGGTACTGAAAGAAGGAACAAAAGAAATGGATGTGAAGAAATATTCAAAGGAACAATTCAAGAAAATTCCCAGCGTTGAATGACACAAGTTTCTAGATAAAAAGACCTACTAAGAGCCCAACCTAGGATGAAAACAGGCCCATAAGTTATCTCATTGCAAAATTTTATGATATCAGACACAAAGAGATGGAGAAACGTTTGTATACAAAAGATGAAGAGTAAGACTAGCTTCGCACTTTTATAACAAGAAGAGTGGAAACTACAACTTAATGAAAAATGATGCTTTTATAATTTGAGGGAAAATCACTTCTGAATTAGATTCTCCAGTCAAAGTCTTAAGTGTGAAGGTAGACTACATGAAGGAATCTGACCACCCCTTCCTGATCAGAGCGCCCTCTAAACCAGCCCCGCCCAGCAAAGCTGCACCTGGGAACTCATAACATTAACAGCTCCACTACTGATAGCAGCCACAACTCCCTGCACTTTCCCAAGCCTCACCCTTGGGCAGCCATTACTGATTATGCTCTCTAACCTTGTTCTTGGCAAATAGCTACAACACCCTCTCATTGAACTGCCCCGTTCCCATGACCCTACAAAAGACCCCGTAGCCTATATGAGAGCAGCTGCTCTGGTCTTTGGTGTCAGAGGGGTTCTCTCTCAGGTTTTTTCTGCAATAAACCTGTCCTGTTGAGCTTGTACCTCTCCTTTTTCTTTTCCTTTTTCCTAACCCTACTGACATTTTCAAACATGCAAGTCCTCAATCATTTGGTTTTCACTGTTGTGGCTGGAGGGGCAGCAAAGTGAGGGAGTACAAGAAAATCCAGGAAACAGGGAAACCTCTCAAGAAAGAGGTGAAGAGTCCCAGGATGGGGGGAGGCTCCAGATGCCAACTGTGCAAAACCCTCAGAGAGGCCTGAACAGATTGAAGCAGGGGAGATGTCTGACTCAGGAAGACACAGATTCCAGAAGAGGAAATTGAAGCATTGCAGCATATGGAAAGACCATTCACAGAACACATGCTACCATCATTTCTACCTTATAAAAATGCTCTTTTGACTCCCATCCTTCTGTGACCTTGCATCCCATTTCTGTCGCTTTACAGCACAACTCTTCAGAAAGGTTCTTCTTACCTCAGCTGTCCTGCACAGGAGCCATTAGCTATATAGGTATTGAAAAGAGACAGATACAAGACCTTTCTATCCCCACAGGAAGTTTCATCATATAGCACTCATGGGAACAGAAGAGGCACCAGAATACACGGGTATGGTTGCAGGTAGTTGGCAGATTTGGGGCTGAAAAGATGAGAAAGTTATCTTCTGGGTAGCTGAATAAGAAGTTCAGTGGCTGTGAGGAAGGGAGGGTGTGTTGTGGGTATGAGAAAAAGGAGATGGTAGGAAATAACATTCCTAGAGAGCAAGAGGGTGAATTGGTAAGATAAATAAAAAGTAGAGTTTTCTCTTTTTTAGCCTGATTATGAAATTAACGAAAACAGGAATCGCTGTTTACTTTTCATATTATTCTTCTTCTTTTCAACGTTATGAAAGATGCTATCTTTAAACTTGGCCAGACTAGGTAGACATGGACACATGAGCCAGTTTTCCAGATTGCTCCTCTCCCTCGGTAATCACTTTACAACCAGATAAATCTCACTGCCATCTTGTGACCACAACCTATATAGCAGGAAGGAAGGGGCGGGCGCTTCCTGGAGATGTTTTGTCATGATAGTTACAGGAACATCCTCAGTCAAAATTCCTTTGATTTTAAGAAACAGAAACCAATTCAATCAAATTTAAGCAAGAAAAGGAGATGTACTATCATGATACCTAGGTAACTCCTAAAACTAGTGCAGCTGATGTTCAAAGGAACTTGAAAACTCTCAGGGCACAGGCAGAACCTTCTCTCTCTTTCTCCCTCCCCCGCCCCCCACCGTCTCCTTGTCCTATAAATATTGTTCCTCAGAAGAAGCAATTTTTCCTGTCCTTTACAGAAAAGCTTTCATTACAGAATTCTCAGGATACTTGATGGGTGAGAGATGGCCACCCTGATAACATTCTTTCTTCTTTTTATCTTAGAACAAGCAGATGTCTCAGATTAACAAAAACACTTGTTTCTCAGTCTCAAATTTCTGGGAGAATCTGGCTAATCAAATTTAAGATTACTGCCCAATGCCAGTTCTCACAGCTCTGATGGTGAGCCAGTTCTCAAGAGCGCCTTGGTTCTACTTTCGGGGAAGTCCTTCCTGTTCCACTACCTCCTCAGTCATACATGAAGTGAGAGTATTGACTTAAGGCCTATGGTTCCTTTGCACTCATACTCAGCTCTCAAAACCACTAGGCCCATCTACCTGGCTCTAGATGTTTCCATGAGCAAATAATCTCATTTAGAGTTCTCTGGAGGGACATCTTATAATTCTTCTATGGGCTTTATCCCTTTGCTTTCTGTCCTAGAAACAACTCCCCTTCCTTCTCCCTCCTTTTTCAGACTTTACCAGTAGCAATCATGTATCGGCACTAAGTTTGTTTTCCAACATTTCTCTAGTTCAATAGATCAGCCTTCAAAGTAATCACAAGCAATGCCATTATCAAATATTTTACTTTCTTCTCAGCTTTGCTAGCAGCTTCTCACAGCTACCATCTGACTGCTGAGCCCACATTTTTTCTTTTCAGCATTAACCACTATTTATAGCAGTTTTTTATCAATCAGGATAAATTTTTTTGCATTGCAATAGCAACTTACCCCTAGACTCTCAGTGGCCTTGACACAATAAGGAGTTTTTCATGTTCACAGCAGCTATGATGTGACCCAGCTGAGTCTCCAGGGGAGCTGCTCTATGACAAGTGGTCCAGCTATTGAAGAGGTATGGTCTTGACTCTGTCCTCTCAACTCATGACATCAGCAATCAACTGACAAAGACAAAGACCACAGAAAAATTTTTGACCTGTTCTGCTGAACTTTGACCCTGAAGTGAGACAGCTGCTCAAAGCCAGGATTAGTTTACAGCCCCGCCTAACTACAGTGATATAGGAGGAATAGATGTAACTCCCAAACCTGCTAGATATCCAAAGCATGAATTCGTGTTCTCTAAAATTGAAGAATGAATTCTAGGAACAACAGAGGTTAAGAGTAGGAAAAATTGATTCAGAGAAAGATAGCCTCTGTCTAAAACAGATAGAAGGGGAACTAGAAAATGAGTTATCCCCTATCCTGCTTCTCAAAGGTGTTTTATGGACAAAGCCATGAGGTGAGGTGGGTTCAAGGTGGGACAAAACTATGATCAACCAGCCCAGGGATTTAGCTCAGTGGTTACGCTGCCTGCCTCACAAGGTCAAGGATCAAGGACCCGAGTTTGATCCCCAGTACAAAAAAAAAAAAACAAAACTATGATCAACCAATAAGATTACAACAAACATAGTTGCGTAGGTAATATTGATCAAATAGGAAGCATGTCACCAAGCATACAAGGATTTTCAGTAAAGGTGGGTCAGGGATCTTTCCTGGAAAGGATGGGTTAAAACCTTGGCCCCCATTCAAGTGATTGATACCTATTTAGAATATCAGTCACTGCTATTCATCCCTAGGGGAAGCAGGCGCGTGTAATAGTTTCTCTTCTTTCACAATGCTGTCCTTCAATGAATGTGTCTTGATTGTCCTCCATGTTGGCTTCTCTAGGGTGACACTGTCTAACTCCCTAGGAGATATCTAATTAACTTACCTATCTACAATAAGAAGAAGTGAAACCACATAGTTAATTTTCCTTGAAGGTATTATAATTCCAATAAAAATGCCAGTAGGATTTTGGGTGTTTGACAAAATGAAGTAAAGTTTGTCTGAAATAATAAAGAAGTGAAATGAACCAATACTGCTGTAATCAGAGTAATGAGGAAGAACTAATTGAACTCAATATTAAGATATTTTACAAGTAGAAAAATTACAGGAAATACAAATTTACATTACACAAAAATTACAGAAAATAAGAAAGCTGTGAGCGGGGAACAGAGATCCCCAAACAGACTCAAATACATTTCAGAAGTTAAAATATAAACAAAGTAATATTTAAAGTAAGTGGAAGACTACGAATAATTCAGAAATGTTGCAACAAACTGTTGTAGGGCCAGAGGAGTTGAAACTATAGCGATGTACCACTTTCTGAATAAAACTGAGTCCTTTATTGTCATAGACAGCATTCCAGAGCAGGCGCACACCTCCAAAAACTTCTGTACAAAGGAAAGACAGTTTCTAGGGTTCTTTTAAGGGCTCTTCTATTTGGGGAGGGCTCAGGGAGTGGGGGAGCACAAGCAGAATTTCACAGGAGCAGAACTTTGTTCAACTAGTGGGGGTCGAGCAAGTTTGACACAGTTTAAAACAGAATGTCACACAGGTGCCGGGTCTTCAGTTTACAAGGTAGTAAGGATAACATAGTTGCAGACTTACTCGGGCATCCTGTTTAGAAGGCAGCAAAGATAAGGTATTTGCAGATTCATAGAGGATGCCGCAGTCTGCCATGTGGGGCAGGGGAAGGGGACCACCTGGAATTACTCAGTTTTACACAAATGGAGTCAGGTTGGCTATCACAAAACAAACCACTTAAGGGGAAGTCCTGATGTAGTTTACTTCTTCTCCCCAAATAAATTTGGTAATTCAATAATTTAAATGCAAAAACATGAAACCAACACAATACTAGATAATCCATTGGTAATTTTTCCCATAATTTTGAACTGAGAAGGGTCTGGAAACATAGCAGAGGAGAGTGACAAATTTACTCACATAAAAATTAAATACCAGGGCCGGGGATTTAGCTCAGTGGTTTCCGCTGCCCTCTGCGCAAGCGCAAGGACCGGAGTTCGATCCTCGGTACCCCCCCCCCCCAAAAAAATTAAATACCATAAACAAAGTCAAGAGATAAACTACAGGATAGAAAAAAGTTTACAATTTACATAACAGGTAGGGGGAACATACAAAGAGATCTAAAAGCCAATAACAGAAAAGTGAACAATTCGATGGAAAAATAGGCAAAATATACACAGTAGGCCCCATCTCAAAAAACGAAAAACCAATAAATCTATAAAAATGTTTTCTCACCATTTTAAATAATCAAAGAAATATGTTAAAAACATAATTCCATTTTTCACTTAGTATATTTGTACAAAATAAATTTTTGATCATACTCAAGGGTATGAGAAACAGGAACTCTCATATATTGTTAATGGAGTGTAAACTGCTATAACCTCTTTAGAAAGCAATTTGGCAATAACGATTAAAATTTAAAGAGCCATTCCAGTGACTCCTCTTGTAGAAATTTCTCCAATAGAAACCTTGTACAAGGAGCTAAATACATACTGTACAGAGATAGTATGATACTATTATTTGTTGTAGTAAAAAATTAGATGAAGAGAAGATTAAATTAACTATAGTGTCTATCAAATGGATTGCTAGACAGCTGTTCAGAAGAATCAATACATGTGCTGATATGAAAAATATACAAATGAAATTGTTTGAAGTGAAAAAAGAGATAAAGTACAGTATTATTATAAGAAAAGATTCTACAGATTACATTTTGGATGTATATACATGCAAATTTCTGGGGAAAAAAGAAATAATAGCTATGTTGATGCTCAGCTAAAATTACATGGTATATGAATGCATAAGTAAGGAGGTAGGCTTTTATGCTTCATATTATAGTCATCTGAGAATTTTTGAACTTGTGAATGTACCACTTTATGATTAAAATTCAAGAATTTAAGCTATTAATTTTTCCATACAATTAGCAATTCTTTATTTTTATCTTTCAATTTATCTAAAACATTAGCAAAATTTTTTAAAGACTAAAATTTGGACATCCAGAGCAGGTTCTAGACAAGTAAACTAAGGTACTTGTCATAAGGAAAGAGGGAGCCACAGCAGCAGCTAAGTCTTGTTTCCACTGTCAAGATAAACTCTCATCTTTCCTATCAATATTCCAAAAAGAAAACCAATAATACTAATAGTAGCCAACATTTACTGAACTCTAATCTGATTCAGTGCTGAGCACTTGTACATGAGTGTTCAGACTCCATGTGGGTGGAAGAGGTGCTGTTCTAGGTTCCATTCTCCCAACAAGAAAACTGAGGATCAGAGAGCAGAGTTAGGAAATAGCACAGGAGAGGTGGGCTTCAGTGCTGACCACAGCACTTACTGCTCTGTGTCTTCAGGAAAGTGGCTCAACCTGACCATCAGTAAGATGAGGATGACTGTAACACTGATAGTGTTTCACAGCACTGTCCTGGATTACATGAGGTAACACTAGTGGTGAACTCAGTACCTGTGATATAAGAAGCTCTTGCTAAATACTGGCCAGTGTTTTTGTTGCTGTTGCTTTTGTAATAAGGCCTTCTGTGCCATGGTCTCTTCCCCTCTCCCCTCTGTGCCATGGCCTCCTCCATCCCACTCAGACTTTGATCTCCAGTGCTCCTATTGTCCTTTTGTGCATCTACATCTCCCTGAGGCTTCTCAGCATCTTCAGCTGCCTCTGCTACTGTTCACTCCTACCTTCACTCCCTGTCACCTTGCTAACACCTCCTTACCCTGAAGACTTCATCTCCAGTCTTATTCTCCAGCACTGCTTCTTCCAGGAAGCCCTCCTTGAGCTCATCTTTCTGGGGTAGGAGCTTCTCTTGGTTTCCAATAGCATCCTGTGCTTCACTCTTCTCCTGTATTAATTAAGCCACCATGTCCACTGTCTAAATTCTCAGTCTGCCACCATCCTCTAGTCTGTGAGTTCTGGAAGTCTGGCTCTGCATTGTCTACAGGGCTTAGCTCCCAACTGCACAACCAGTATTTGCTGAGGGACTGCTATTGGCAACTCTCAGGAGATCATTTCTTTTGGACAGTGGGATACAAGTCAGGCAAACAGAGTTGTTTATTCAATTATAATTATTTTCTCTTGTTATTGTTCTCGGTATGAAGACTGCCATAGTGTCAAAAGGCAAAAGACAGATTTAGTTTAAAATCTAATTAGATTTTACAAGGGTTAATCACAAAATATGGTGAATACTTAAACAAGAAATGTATTATAGTAAAAGACACATTGCCAAGAATGGCAGGGTAAATTTGTTTTAAGAGAGAGGGAGTGTTTTGAGTGTTCTAAGGGGAATTAATGGCAATGTGTCTTTTACTATAATAAAATTTTAAGTTTAAACATTCACCATATTTTTTTTTTTGGTACCAGGGATCAAACTCTGGACCTTGTGATTTCAAGGCAGGCGGCAGAATCACTGAGCTAAATCACCGGCCCTCATTCACCATATTTTGTAATTACCCCTCATAGGTCAAACTTTTACAGTAATTTCTATCAAATAAAAACCTCACCCATCGTATTGACCAGATTTGGCACCACGCAACCTCTGGCTCTTCCCCAAAGTCAAATTAACCATGAAAAGTAAACATTTTGAGTCAATTCAGGACATCAAGGCTACCAGGACAGCATAGATGAAGTCGCAACACAGTACTTTAAGAACTGCTCCAGAAAGTGGCAAGAACAATGGGATAAGTGTGTTCTAAGTGTGTGTGTGTGGGTGAGAGATCAGTGGCAATGTGTCTTTTTGCATAATAATTTTAAAAATTTAAACATTCACTATAGGGCCAGGGATTTAGCTCAGTGGTTCGGCCACCTGCCTCGCAAGCGCAAAGTCCCGAGTTCAATCCCCAGTACCAAAAAAAAAGAAGAAACATTCACCATATATATATATATATATATTTTTTTTTTTTTTGGTACCGGGGATTGAACTCGGGTCCTTGCGCTTACGCAGCAGGCGGCAAAACCACTGAGTTAAATCCCCAGCCCAATTCACTATATTTTTTATCACAACTCATATTTGTGAGTCTAGAATCTGGCAACATCACATTTTATAAA